GAGAGAGAGAGAGGAGAGAGTTTTTCATGTGTGCGCATGAATTTTAATCGTGTTAATTTACTTATCTTTCTTTTATCTAAGAAATTTGTATGGATTTGATTAATTTTCTTCCTAAATACCGAGCGGTTGCTAGTTATCTTTTATTGTGGCCTAAATGCGGTCTTTTTGTTTATAGTCCTAGCTAATGCTCTCTCTCTCTCGATATATATATGCACACACACACACACATATATGGGGAGTGATTTCATGCAACGGTTGTATAATAATATAACACAACAATCTTAAAACTAGGGTACTTTATATACAATATATATATATATATATATATATATATCGTTGGCCCTATCTCCGTCACTTAGGGCTTTACAATTGCTAATTTTTGTATTTTCTTGATCAGATGAAGAGAAAAAGTGTTGGGATTGATCAAATTTATGATGCCCGTGCATTGAGGGTGGTGGTTGGTGATAAGAATGGATCACTGCATGGTGCTGCTGTTGAGTGCTGTTACAACCTTCTTAACATTGTACACAGGTGAATATAGTTGTCGCACTGCTAGATTTTTATGCAAAGAGATTTTATTGGCGCTGAACTTGTTGAAATACTGCTATGGTTTCCTAAATGTTGCATATCGGTGACTCATTATATATTATATGTTTTAGATCATATCTGGTTCCTACTGAGATCAGGAGTTGGGAAGCCTCCTTATCTTGTTTTTTCTTTGAAGGAATATGCGACTGTATTACTATCATACTGCATTTAATACAAAAAGAATGGTCATGGTTGGTTGCCAACATGTAGGGAGCTCTGTACAAAATGGGGCATAAGGGCATCTCTTAGGGTAGTATAGTTTATACAACAAAAAAACTTATTGACAGCCAACAAGTATATTGTACTGTACAAAGATGACATAATTGTGATGAAATAGATAAAAAGAGAGCGGAGACAAAAAGAGAATGGATAAAGGGAGAAAAGAGGAGAGGGGAAAGGAAAAGTTGGTTTGAATCATGAGGAGGGGACGTGGATTCAGGTCCGCTGGCTGCCCCTGCCTTCACCAACACATCCGCTAGGTGGTTGGCCTCATTTAGTATGTAGCTGAATCTGACTTGAAAGGCCCTGCACAAGATGTGTATATGGTCAAAGAGATGTGCTAGTCACCATGGGCTTTGAGCAGTGTTTACCTCCCATGCAATTACATTTTGGAGTCACCCTCAACTTTGAGTTGGGCGATATTGACGTTAGCCTGATGGGTGTTTTTAAGGCCTTCTAAAAGGGCAGTTGTCTCCTCCATAGTGGAATCTGTATGGCCTAAGAAGCCTAAGAAAGATAATGGATTGATTCCTTCAAAGTTAGTGTTAATAGTAAAATACCAAAGAGAAAGAAGATAGGAATGAGGAAGAAGAGAGAGAATATGAGAGAAAAGGTGAAACGTTGAAGAGATGACGCTGGAGGCAGTTGCATTAGGGTTTGATGGCCTCCATGTCCCTCTCTAATCTTTCTTATGTATAAATTACACTAATGCCCTTGTGTATGTAAAAAGGATAGGAGTTCCCTATTGGCCCACAAACAAGATGTAACAAAAGGAACTAATTTGAAATATATTGTTAACACTTCCCCTCAAGCCAGAGCATATGCCTAGCTTGGAACAAGTCATCTAAATCTGATCATGAGAGTTTGGTGAACATATCAGCCAACTAATCCTTCAACTTTACATATGGAGTAGATATTTGCTTTCTCAGTACTTTTTGTCGAAAAAATGGCAATCCACTTCAATATGTTCTACTCTCTCATGAAATGCTAAGTCTCTAGCTATATAGATGGTTGCTTGATTTTTACATAACATCTTCATCGGCTTTGTAACTGTGAGTCCCATCGCTTCTATCAATGTCTTCAACCACATTAACTCACATGTAATGTGAGCCACGGCCCTATATTCAACCTCTACACTATACTAGCTACAACATTCTGTTTCTTACTTTTCCATGTTACCAAATTACATCCAACTAAAGTACAATAAATTGTATTAGAGCTTCTATCTTTTGTATCCTGTTGTATCGGCATCAGAATAGCTTTCAATGCTGAATGGCCATTTTGCTTGTAGATGAGCCCTCGACCTGGAGCCCCCTTAAGATATCTCAAGATTCTTTGCCTGCTTCCTATCGTGGTGTCTTGGGAGAATGTGTGTGCTCACTTTTTATTGGTCAACTCTGATGAATCAATCATGAGCCCCTGCATGAGACTGTAGGTCACGGGTCTTGTTGGGTTGATTTGAGAAGATAGTCAAGGATCACGGTTATTGGGTCACTTTTCTTGACCCATTGGTACTGATTCACTTTTAGAATTTTTTTTTCAAATATTTGTGATTTTAGAAATTATTTGGAATTTTAAAATCTTTTCAACAGTGAAAAACCCTTAAAAGGGCGTTCTAGAATTTATAGAATTGTAGAGGGGTTAGGAGGAACGCATGTGGGGGCCCTTGGATCCAATCCTTACAAGTGGACCACACCTAAATGTGTGGGATGTGGAGCCCATGGGGCCCACATGTGACACAGAGGTGGACGTCTCCCTTTTCTTGAAATTCTAGTTTAAATTTGAAATGTTTTTTTTGAAGGGAGACCTTATGGAAATCTTTGGAAAAGATTGTGTGACCTTATTTCATGGGAGCAAAGAATATTTATGTTTTGAAATATTATCTCAATTTTTTATTTTGACCAAATATTTTGAATTGAATTCCTACAATCTTTATAAATTCTAGTCAATATAAACTATGGTTTTATGATTGGTCTTATCTTAGGTTGACTAGAAGTGGATATGGGTTAGATTCGGAGGATAAGGTTTCTAGATTCCTTCTTAAATCATGATGGCTAATTCATGTGATGAGTCAGATTTGTTTCTCTCACACTTCAAAAATTACCTAGGAGTCATGTGACGAAGATGAATTCTAAATTAATTAGGCATTACCTAGTTACACTTGAAAGCTATAAATAGAGGGTAGATCCCTCATTCTCACCACATGAAATTCCTAGCGTCTCTCTCTCATTCTCTCTCCTCCATTCCTCTCTCTCTCTCTTCTCTCCCCTCTCTAGTCCCAAAGGGTGGCACGCCCCTCCCCAGGGAATTTGGGGCAACATGCCACCCATAGATTAGATAGAGGGCCATGCTTACCTAAAAGGACCAAGGGGGGTGCCACTTGTGGCTTGCCTTAGAAAGGTCAAAAAGGGTTTAAGAGAATCCCTAGTTTGTTTTATGCTCTCAAACCCTTGATCTGAAAAAGATATTTCCTTAAGGAGCTTCCCAATTCAGATAGTTCAGTAGGGCCAATAGGATCAGAGTGCACCCTCAGTCAGGTAATCTGGTGTGGGTTGTACCAAGTAATAGGGGCTGACTTTAGGCAAACACAAGTACGTCTTCCCGGCTGTTCTAAGTTTATTTTGAGTCATAATTATTCAATTTATTGCTAGTCTCCAGGAGCATTATTTATATTAGAGTTTATAGTTAAAGCTTGTATTCAATCCTGGATTTGGTCATATTTATTTGGCAGTAAAAATAGAATATCCTTAGTTGTATTTAGGGTTTTATTTATTGTTTACAATATTGTTTTGTGGCACTTCTAAGTGGAATTCAGATATATTAATAAAAAAAAGAGAAATTATCTTATTTTACTCCCTTGAATTTCACGTAACCGCTTCTTTCAACTTGCCGAGAACTCCAAATAACTCTCCTTGATCCATCAATAATTTAGTACTTGGATTCGTAGGCATATCAATTGGCTCAGTGCCCAGGTTCACGATTGAGCATCGTTGTTTCTGACAACAAATCTATTACATACTTCCTTTGAGAAAGACTATATTGTATTTAAAAGGTGATATTTCCAAGAAAATAGCGTACATGTCCCAAATTCTTTTTTCTAAACCTATTGTCACAGAGACCCCTCAATTTATTAATCCTTTGTTGATCACTCACTATAATGGCATTGCCATCAACATAAACCACTAAGACAATTATACCTGCGAATTATTTCTGAATAAATGCTGAATGATCCACATGGCTTCCTTGAAACACATACGCCATGAAAATTTCACTAGACTTGTCAACCCATGCGTGTGGGGAGTGCTTCATGCCATAAATGACTTTCTTCAACTTGCATACCTTGTCTAACTCCCTTGAGCAACTACGTTGGTAGTTGCTCCATATATAGGGGTGGCAATGGGGTGCGTCCGGTCTGGGTCAACCTGGACCTGGACCCGACCCGAATCCAACTCAGTGTTGGGTTTATGTGGCCATTAAAGGCCTTATGAGAGCTTGTATAAATATTTCATATAGTGAAACATAAACTTAATGGTAATGTGGTCCTCATGTGGACCATATTAGGCAAATACTATTTACTGATCTTGGACTTGGCTTGACGTGCTAGGCCAGTTGAGTTGGAAAACCCAAAGTCTCTGGGCATAGAGTTAAACCGATGAGGGTTCTGTGTGTCATCACTTGATGAGGTCGGAGTTGCCTAGATGAGTGAGCCGAGGGATTGTGTGGCCATTGTGTGTGATGGTTGGCTTTTAGAGATTGGGCCAAAGCCTCATCCCTGAACCATCATACGACATGTATATAGATAGTCGTATCGAGAAAGCAATCGACCTTTAACGGTGAAGCATGTACATGTGTGAGAGATTACCCTTGTGCACCATAGAGCTGTGGTTGCATCATGGTCTGCGGGACTATGGATTCGTCTCTAGGGGAGAACCTGTAGTCCATAGATTGGGATTACGTCCCCTAGCCTATGGGCTTACTTTGGTGGCCCAGTCATGAACCTTTGCAGTGGACTGTGGGTCATGGGAATAGCTGGGTCAGTTTGGGAAAACTAGTGTGTATCGTGGTCCACTGTTGAAGGTGAAGTGCTCCAGTATATTCATAATTCCTAGACCTATTCGAATCCGACTCTCATCAAAATTATTTAGTTTTAATTATTTTGATGTTATATGATTTTTAGATTTGATTATTTGAATTTTTTTTTGATTCTCTTGATATTTTTTTTTTACCATTTGGATTTATAATACAAGAGAAAATCAATTTTCAATGTTTCAAATAATAAAAGAGAAATAAATCTTGTTTATAAATATCTAAAAATCATTTATTAATTAACTTAATATATGGGGACCCACCATGAAAGGTGGGGGACTCATTATTATTTATTTAATAATAAATAACATGGAGAGTGTGAGGCCCACTTGAGGCCACCTAGGGTGGCCCGCCCCATACAAGGAGGGATGGCTTGCCATTTGGTCCAAGCCCCTTCATGCTTAGTTGGCTTTCTAATTTTGTTTTAAAGCCTTTTTGGTTTAGGAATCAAGATAATAAATTATGGTATGTTTGTGAATCAAGATATTTGACTATTTAAAGATTATATAATTATGGAATGATTATCCATAAAAAGAGAAAGTATGATTATATCTTTTTTTATTTGAATATTTGATGGGAATAGGTTTAGGAAATAGAGGATAAGGTTCTTGCACTTCTTTTGAATCTTGATGGTGGATCTAAGGAATGGATGACTCACATCTCTCACCCCACAAGTCTCCCTAGATCAATAGTCTAGATTTGATCTCATTAAAGATAACATACCCTAAGCATTAGAAAATCCATAAATGGGGGTCCCCCCTCCCCTAAATCTCTATGCCTCTTATCTGCTCTCTTCTCTCTCTAATCTCTCTCTACTCTCTCCTTCTCTCTGTAGGGGGCACGCCCCACTGAATTCTCTCTCTTTCTAATGTTCTCTTTGTCATAGATAGAAAGAAGAAGGGGGCACGCCCCACCTACGAGATCTCTCTCTCCCTCTCTCTCATCTCTCTAGGTTAAGCCAAGGGGGCTTAAGGAAGGCTAAGGCTTTGGGGCCTTAGCACTTTGGTTCAAGATAGTTCCATATTACATGCTGTATCTGTAATTATGTAAATGTTTAAGGGCAGTTATCTAATTGTATTTCCTAGTAGGATCTTTTGTCATTGCCACTCATAACTTCCAATGCTATACAATATGGCAATATCCTTCTAGACAAAATCATTACAAAATTACTTCATAGAAATGCGCAACTCACATAAGATATATCATTTACACATTTTTACATCTTTCCTGGATTTGCATAGCATGTGAAAGTGAAGAATATAGATGTATTACTTTTGAATCCATGGATTGCAAATTTGCAATACAATATGCTGCTACCAATTTCCCTAATTTATCCATCCATCAAGTGTCCAATGTATGCATGCCACTCATTTGTTAGCTGGTGAAACTTGAATTTTACATGTTGCCATCTGTTTGCTACTACTCATGCAGGCTTTGGACTCCAATTGATGGTGAGTTCGATGACTATATTGTGAATCCAAAGCCCAGCGGTTATCAGGTGATGGCTTATATGTTTTGTAACAACCGACATGATTTCAACTATTCCTTTCATTATTTCTTTTTCTCCTGTGAAAGATGTAAATCCTTCTATGATGACGTTCTTACTATTCCTTTCATGTTTAGAAGACATGTTTGACAAAGATCGCCATACTAAAGTATTTCTTTTTCTCCTGTGAAAGATGTAACTCCTTATATGATGACGTTCTTACTTGAACCCAATGGCTGTTAACTTACGGGAAACTTCTAAACTAACAAACAGACTACATACCCCTGATGTAGTGAAAAGAATGAGAAATTAATTGTAAATAATAACCAGGGAATCTGCAATACTGTTCCTCAGATTGAATGAATTCTACCATTATCCTAGAGAATGTGCATATATTGTACACACCTCACTTTTCAAATTTCAAATATGTGCTTAACTTGTTAAGTACATGGTGTTTCCATTGTGTTGCATTATGTAATGAGCTGGGTTTGACTTCCACAACAGATTTCATTATTTCAGAAATCTTCACATGAAAATTTTAAAAACTCCCTGGTTTTTCAGAGTTCACTGTCCAACTCGCTGAGTTAGCTCGCTATTGGTGGTGACCATGTTGGCTACCAAATTTGAGGTTTTGAAAGCTGCATGAAATTCTGGATTAACATGTGTGGCACCTGATTGTCTTGTTCCATTAAATAAGATTGGTCACTTTACAGGTTCCTGCCATGTCTCCATGAGGAAATTTAAATTGAAAAAAATTCTACACTAATAAACATGAAAGCCATTGCTGAAAACAAAGTTTCAAGATATTGGATTTGAATTTGTAGTAGTGTACACATTTGTATTCACAATATAAGACTTTCGAACGTAAATGAAATAGGAAAAAATTTTATGTTAAAAGGAAAAGGGTAATGCATTCTGGCATAAAAGCCGTACTTGACAAAGCTGGGAACATATTAGGAGAGCCACCGACATCAGAGTTTTGCTTGGAGCACTGGATCGTGACATGGTCATGATGCTAACAAGTCAACATAAAAATAATATGCATTTTCTGCATATTTTGGTCTCTATTTTTTTTGTACCAACCATCACGATTGCTTCTAGATGCTTACCCTGCGATGTATTACTCCTAAATCTGGATATGTCATGTCTTAAGTAATGTTTTTGTAGGTGATTCTGTCAAAAGAAGAAATAATGCCTCCCACCAATATCACATTTTGTGGTTATCTATAATCTTAATAAATTAAATGTTAAGGTATATCTATGTGAATCTCCTCTTTGTTGGTGCAGTCTCTCCACACTGCTGTGCGAGGTCCTGATAATGCACCTTTAGAAGTACAAATCAGAACACAGGTTACCAAACTCTTCAGCATGTAATTTTCTCTTTTTTTTTTGTTAATTTCAGTTGGTGATATTATCATGGAGCTCTTTTTTGAGATTTTGGGACTGATGTGTTATGGCTCTTTCCTTGGATAGCGTATGCATGAGTATGCAGAATTTGGACTGGCCGCTCACTGGCTTTACAAGGAAACTGCGAAAAAGGTGAGATGCACGAATCTTATTCCAGATTCCCTGCCAAATGGATCTTCAAGTCAATTGGAAAATTTGGAGCGTGGAACTGTGTTTCAAGGTGAAGAAGACCTCAAGTTCAGTTCTTTGAAAGTGGGACATCCAGTTCTTAGAGTCGAGGGTAGTCAATTGCTCGCTGCTATTATTGTCAGGTAAATTGGTTCTTCCCTATACATGCATATTTGAAGCATTCAATCATTTTTCACGAGCTTTAGTATTTGATAATTTTGGGTTTTACAGAGTAGATAAGGATGGAAAAGAGTTGCTTGTGGCTGTGAGCTTTGGCCTTGGGGCTTCTGAAGCAGTGGCCGATAGAAGATCCAGTTCACAAAACAAGAGATGGGAGGCATATGCAAAACTATATAAAAAGGTTGAATCTTCTATAGTTCTACTATTCTATTCTGTAATCCTCATTTCAGTTGCATATTTCCTGACAACTGTTACAATTCAGAAAATTGGTTGTGACCATTTGTTTGGATGATATTCTTTAGGTACAAAATTTGCCATAAAACAAATAGCAAATGGGTCTTGGCTTTTTACGTATTCTTTTTTCAACACATTTTGTCACAACAATTTGTGGTTTTGGTTGCATAATGTGCCTACTAAGATGATTACCTTCTATTGGAATCTTTACTTTCTTCCATACTCTGGCTTTTATTATAGAGTTCAGTTTGGATGGTCAAGGTTCTGGTGACTTTGAACTTTGTAAGAGCGGGAGATCTCTTTCCCTCGCTTTCGAATCAGGTTTAGGGGATGTGCTTCCATTCTTGCATACAGCAGTCCCTTGCTTATCCATGTGCTAATGGTGTCTGTGATGAATGGGCATACGCGCAAGACGCTTGTATACATGTACACATTCATATATTTGTGTATGTTATCTTTGGTATTTGGAAAAATTGGTCTATAAATGACAAAGCAAATATTTGCGAGAGATATATGTAGTTACGAATATTCTGTTAGATATACTTGAGTATTATTGTATTTGATGGTTATAATTGTTTTTTATTTTGTTTAGGACTTATTGTCCTATGTCATTAAGAAAGGACAATATTATAATTAGGTCAACATATTAACAATTTACCATAAATAAAAGGTTTGTGCCTGTTTTTCTTAACCAACACACCACTCTCTTTCTTTTCTCTTCCCTTTCTCTCTCTAATGTCTCTTTCTCTCTCTTCTCTTTCTTCTTTCTTCTCTCTCCTACTACCGTCTAACATATTATTTCTACTTCTCTCCTTTTCTCTTCATTAATTTGCCCTAGATTATTTTCAACTTGATATTAGAATAAGGGTGGAGAGTTTATTTTTAGAAATTATTAAACAACAAACACAATAGGAACACAGTGGTAGAAGGAACCGTCGGCATCAATGAGGGCGGAGGTCATAGATACGTTCATAGGATTAAAATCGGAAGTGAAAGAAGCTTTGAAGAGGATGAAGATAGGAAAGACATTAAGATCAGATGGTATCCCAATAGAGGTTTGGAAGTGCATGGGGAGATCGACATTGACTGGTTGACTTGACCAAGTTGTTCAACAAGGTGTTGAGAATAAAGAAAATGGTAGATGAATAGAGGAAAAGTACTGCAGTATCTATTTACAAGAACAAATGAGACATACATAATTGTTCGAACTATTGAGGGAGCAAGCTTCCACACTATGAAGCTGTGGGAGAGAGTGATCGAGCAACGACTAAGGCATGAAGCTAGTGTATCAGAAAACCAATTTGATTTTATGCCAGGAAGGTCAACTATTGGGGCTATTTTCCTACTTAGACAGTTAATTCAGAAGTTCAGGGTGAAGGGAAAAAACCTCCACATATTTTTATTAATTCAGAGAAAGCTTATGACAAAGGGGCCGTCACTTGGTGTGACGATAAAAGGCTCGGGTAGCCAGCGAAAGAGTGCGGGTTCGAGTCCTGAGAGTGGCCACTTTATGCATAAGCCAAAGGTTAGGACTGTTTCTAGCCCACCCCTCCTAGGACCTTGCTTAGGCAGGACCAGCACCGGGTTACGGCCCTTAGAAAGCTTATGACAAAGTACCTCGATATTTAATTCGGGGTATGTTGTAAAGAAATGAGTCTCCAGATACTATATCGACTTGGTGGGAGATATATACGAGGGCGTGCATTGTGCAAACAACTAGTAGAGAGACGAATTTTAAATGAGAATAGGTCTACATTAGGCAGCGTTGAGCCCATACCTCTTTGTCTTAGTTATAGACGACTTAACGAGGCATGCACAAGATGAGGTACTGTGGCGTATGTTGTTCGTAGATGGCATAGTTTTGATTGATGAGAGCCAAAGCGGTGTCAACACACAATTAGAACTTTGGAGGGATGCTCTAGAATCTAAGGGTTTTAAATTTAGCCGGATTAAGACAAAGTATATAGAGTGCAAGTTTAGTAATAATCGCAATAGAGACGAAGAAATAGTTAAGATTGACGGCCAAGAAATACCAAAAAGATTGTACTTTCGATATCTTGGGTCGATAATCCAGAAAAATGGAGAGATTGAGAAAGATGCACATAGAATTAGAGCTGAATGGTCGAAGTGGAGATGTGCAATCAGAGTTTTATGTGATCGCTGCATACCAATGAAGTTGAAGGGCAAGTTTTATAAGGGGCCATTTGAGTACTTGAAAATCTATTACAGGAAAACATATTACAAGGAAATATGAGATTTACCATGTTTGGGTACATTTCAATCGTAAGAAAATGGAAATAAATTACACAAGATTTTCCCAAAATGCGTGAAATCTATTACACGCAAGGATGCCTGTGAAATCTATTACACGCTTAACGGGTAATCTATCTACGTGCATCTCTTACTAAAAAAAAATCCTCTATCTCCTGCCATTCTCCCTCTCTCTTGTGCACATCCATTCTCCCGCCATTCTCCCTCTCTTCTCTCTTACGTACATCCATTTCTTTGTCTCTCTAAACTCCACTTCTAAGTGTTTGCACATCTTGTGCACATCCATTTCTACACTCTCCTGCGTACATCCATTTCTACATCCTCTCTCATGTGCACATCCATTCTCCCTCTCTCCTGCGCATATTCATTTCTACTTTCTCTCTCTAAACTCCACTTATAAGTGTTGCACATCCATTTTTACACTCTCCTACACACATCCATTTCTACATCCTCTATCCCCAATTTGGGTGGTAGCTAAGCTAAATCTTTTGAAAACAAAAGGATTTTTTGATAAATTATATTTTATAATGATTTTTTTATAAATTATATTTGATAAATTATACTGATTACTAAATCTTTTGAAAAAAAAAGGATTCTTTTTTTTGGATTAGGGTTTAAATTGAGACAAAAAAGTGATAAATTATATTTTATTTAAATTATAATGATTAATCTTTTGGAAAAAAAATATGTTTTTGGATTAGGGTTTAGATATAGATAAAGAAGTGATAAACTACTTACAATATATTAGCTGTATTTTCTTTTTTCACATTGGCCTCCTTTAATATCTCAATCTAATTTTTAAAATAATTTACCATTTCACAATAATTTTTTTTTTAAAATACATCACCATTTACTATTTAAACTACAAATTAACGATATTTAAAGGTTGTGACTAAAATAGTTCACTCAATTCACACTATTTAGTTATTATTATTTGACGTCATGCTATCTATACATATGCATTTCAATATTAAATAGGAATGTCTACAAAGAGACCATTTATCTTTTGTGAATGGAGGTCACAATCATTCTCAAATATTAGATGTCAAATTGGATGGCTTGAGGTGAATCATGAAGTGAATTTTTTTTTTGAAATTTTGTATTTATTCATTGACAAAAACGATTGTGCGTACAAAAGATAAAAGGTCTCTTTGTATGCAATTCCATATTAAATCGCTATATCCAGTAAGAGCAAATTTAAGATGTAATGTAGACAATTCCATATTAAATCGTGTAAAGTAAGAGCAATGTATTTTCCTGGTTGCATCTAAATACTACCCAAACAGTAATAATCCCAGGTTCAATCTAACTAGTACCCAAACAATAACAATCCATTTGCATATAATGTATTACACAGTAATGTATTACGCCAGTAATATATTTCACAAACAATGTATTTTCAGGTATCCAAACGACCCTTAAGACAATTGTGAGACCTATTTTGCTTTATGGGGCTAAATGTTAGGCAGTCAAGAAATAACATACCCATAGCTGAGATGAGGATGTTGAGATGGATGAGTGACAATACAAGAAGGAGTAGAATCGAAATGAATACATTCGGGAGAACTTAGGTGTAGCTCCAATAGGCAATAAGATGAGAGAAAATAGACTTAGGTGGGCTGGCCATGTGCAGCATATACCCAATACAATACCTTTTAAGAAGTATGAGTTAATTCAAGTGGAAGGCTAAAAAGAGGCTAGCGGTAGGCCTAAAAGGACATGGCTGAAAGTAGTGTGAAAAAAATATGGGGGCTTATGGGCTCACTGAGGGTACGACTCTTTATAGAGCAGAATTGCGGACTAGGATTTGTGTAGCCGACCCCAAACAGTTGAGAAAAGGCTCTGTTGATGATAATGATGATGATGATTAGAGCAGGCTAAAGAATCGAAGATAAGGTGTGTGCAGATATGATCTAGGCTTGATGTCTTATGTATGATTAGATGACATCAACAATGGATGGTTAGGGATTTCCATTATGCCCTGAAACCTAGTTTTCCTAGCAATGATCGTAAATAGATTAGAGTTTGTGTACCCCAATCAAGAGAACATTGGTAGTATTTTTTTTTAATATTTTTCATAAGAAAAAGAAGTGTGATCAGATTTGAGGGTGTAACCAGATCTGTAAATCCTTTTGTTTATTTATTTGGGAAGAGAGCTGAGGGTGTAACCTATAACTAGATCTCAACCACAATAGACTCAACAACCGTCAAATATAGATGATTCTGGACTCCTAATTACCACAGTTAAATTTGATGGCACAAATTATTTAGAATGGACCATATCAGTTAGATTATTTCTTGTTGGAAGAAAAAATTGGGGTATATTGAAGGTCATATAGAAAAATTGACTCTCAAAGATCTAAGAAGGGCGAGGATCAAGCCCAGGTAAAGGGAGGTGGGTTGTATTAGGTAAGCAGCCAGCGTAAAACTTTGCCAAAAATTTTCATGAATCCTGAATCTATGTTATCTGCTAGCCGACTGAAATAGTTAGGAAAAGGCTATGATGATGATAAAAAAACCAAATCTCATGGATCTTAAATATGCAGATTAGGAGGTTGATGATATGGAAATTATAAATTGGTTATTGTATTTTATGCAACCTAATCTGAGTTGAACTTTTATGAACTGTAATACCTTTAACGAATTGTGGCATGTAGTTTCTAAGGCTTATTCCCA